AGCTATGTAGGCACATATTGAAAGAGCACTGTCTTCACTATTGGTACTAATGATGATAATGTTTTGTCTAACTGGACAGTAAAATGTAAGATTTTGCTTATGTTTTCCAAATGGTAATGACAAAAAAAAAGCATATATTTAACTTTACTTTCATATTTCAAAGAACAAAAAAGCAATTCAACAAAGGGCTCTTTCTTGTCCAGAGGATACCAATGAAGTTCATCCATCGGTTAGATGCAGAGGATGAAACTGTAATTAGACAGGTCTGGCGGTTCAGTTTCCATGACAACCGTTTGTTGCACTGGCTGATGGTAAGTGGTGTCCTTACCGCATCCTTTCTTAAATAAAATATTAACCAGAGCATCAGGATGAGTTTTCAGCATTGCACCACTGCTTGTGTTTAGGATGCATCGATGCTACCTGCTAGCATTGCTAATATGTTAGTTTTGATAAGATACAAGGCTCTGGAATCGGTCAAAAAATGTAGGTTCCATATGTTATCTAAAAATGAGTTTTTTTGGTGTGTTTTTTCTGTAGATGAGCTCAAAAATATGCTTGGATAACAACTCTAAAGCACAACCCTTGTGTCCAATCAAACCCCAATCCATACATCTTCACTTGGTTAGCTTGTTTTGCCTTCAGAGCAGTCCATCTCTTCTACAATAAACCTTTTATCATCCTTTATACATAATTAAACATTAGCTAATCCTCATCAAAAACTCAAAAAAGGAAAAACAATATTGTACAATACATTTTATGGAGCTGCTAATATTGTACATTATCTGAGACAGGAAAGCCTACTGCGGACGTGGGAGCAGCTAATGTCAAAATGTTTACTTTGTATTATAAAATAAGTGATTATGACGCTAAATTTGTTTTTTTTTTTTTTTTTTTCTTAAAAAAAACAAATTAGTAAAAAATTAGGATTAATATCAACAATGAAATTCAATGGTTCTAGGTCATTTATATCAGCTCTGTTAACATTTTGTCAAATCAAGTGAATAATATTTGAATTGTGTGTAATGTTGCAGTTCTATTGTGTAAAACAAAGGGATTTGAGCCATTGCCTGAAAATTTTCTGAAAAAAACTTCAAGCTCTGATCAGACTGAAACTAAAAAAGAACAAAACTAATTCTTTAGGATAAAACTCTATTCATTCCCCTCTACACAACAAAGACTAAATGACAGCCAGACTGAGTAGTGACCTTCCATGCATAACCTTTAACTGCAGCTCTCTTCCTTATCTCCGAATGCATAAATCATGTCTGTATTGCAGATTCAAACTATTACTTTAAATAGAAAAAAAAATGTATCAAAAGGTTTTAAGTGATGTTTGCTGCCTTAAGCTTTGAAAAGGTCATAAACAATTGCAAATTCTGCTGCGGTTGTGGGTGTTTGAAACTTGACAGTTCCATTAGGATTAATTTAGGAATGCAAATTATTGTTTATGTTTGTTATGATAGGGAGTTTTAAGTCGGAATGTGTTCAAGGTTTCTGTTTGAAAACAGTAAATGAGACAAGTAAGGGGCTGAGGGAGGTAAGAAGCAGTGGATATTATTATATTTCAGAGGCAGCCAAACAAATACTGCAGGCAGGCGCACAGCTGGGCTGGCATATACAAGATATGCAAAGCAGGAAGGGGGTGCATAACGGAAAATAAAAAAACAAGTGTTGTGCATGTTGTGCATATTTGAAATCAAATCACCAAATTCACTAAAGTTAAATCGGTTCCTGCAAATAAGCCCCACATGCAGTCATCAATACTCAAAGCTCTTACCAAAAACTAAATACAAGCTGCTAAGTATAATTAACATGAAAAACTCATGAAAAGACTTTTTTTTTTGGGGGGGAATAAAAATAAAAAAAAAAACAGCAAAAAGCTGATAGATCTGCATATTCATTTCACTTTCAAAGCAGGGAAAATGAGAAAAAAAATTCCAAAAAAAAGCATTTATAAACTTTTCCACATTTTGTCTCTAAAATCACAAACCATAATGCAAGGTTTAGCCTTATACTGAGTATATTTGATGCATTAATGCTACCTACACTGCTCGATTGAGCAATTTCATCAAAATTTCCATGTCAGTCACTACTCCTCCACATCCACTTTGCTGAAAGTTTGTTTTCTTGTCGGATTTCTGCTTTACTCATTCCAGTTGCTTTCATCCAAGAGGTAAAAGGCATATTGTTTGCAGGGTTCCTACAGAATAAGGCAAGTTAAATTCAAGACTTTTTAAGACTTTTTAATGCCACTTGAAATAAAAGTTTAAGAACAAATTCACAAGAAAAACAAGAAAAACGCGACAACTTAACCCAAAGGTTTATTTTAACATAAACCACTGCACTAATGTTTCAAATTTTGAAAAGCTTCC